TGGCAATGGGGTCCAGCGCTCAACGCTTTTTTTGGATTCCCTCTGTGTCCTCTGCCTCTGCTTTTTAATGGGGAAAGACCGCTGCTATACGAGGCAACATCCATGGATAAGACAACTTCCTCAATCTCTGAAAAACCTCCGTCTGCAATATTTTTTTTGCCAGGAGATTCCCCAGGGGGTTCCACTTTTTTTTTTTTTTTTTTTTTTTAACCGGGCCCAGTGCCCAAGGCTGATATTACCAGGGGGTACCACTTAATATTCGGTATTACTAATTTAGTTGTCCATGTGCAGGTTTCAGTATTGATGATGGCGTCATCTGTGACGTGGCTCACCTGCATTGTGTGCTGCCATGCCTTACTGGCAGTACTTGCTGGTGACATCGAAGCATGGGGTGGAGGTCGTCTATTCATTGACAGGACATGGTCAAGCCTTAGGGAAATTGCGACCCAGATCGGTCTCAGTATCACTGTCATTGCATGGGCCCTCAATCTGCTTCGTCCGTTAACAACCCCCGCTTACCGTGGTTGGGATGGCAGATTGAGCTCAGCCTGGGATTTTGAGCTGGCGACATACTTTCTGGGCTGGTTAGCCTACAACGCCATTGACACTGCATCCCTACTTACGATCAATTCTCTCTGGCTGGGACCGTCGCGGCCACCTCTGCGGCTAGGCATTCTTGCTGCATGGGCTTTTGCATTTTCGTCACTCCTCGGCAAAGCTCCGGGATGGAGTTACCAAGATACACAAATGGCTGGCCGGTATTGGCTCACTCTCCTGAGCCAGGTCGTATCTTTTTACTTTGCAGCAGTCGTCAACTACTCGGGAAGAGACCTTACTGTCATGTGTTACCTTGGCCTCTCTTCATCATTGCTGTACTGCGTGCGTATTATAAGTTTGTATGATCTGCGTGAGGAGAACGCGAGGAGAGTAATCGAAGACTTGGACTGGTTTGAGCACTGGTCGGGATACCAGGAGGAATGCCAGGGAGTCCATGAGTTTGTGAGCAAGATTGAGGATCCGCCCAAAGTGGATTGGCATCAGGTGGAAGCCCKMGCTGTGATTATTCGTAGCCTTTGTAAGAAGCATGGTGACATTACTTTCCTCGGCTGGGGGTTTCACAAGTGGAGGATGAGCGACTTCAACGTCTGCAYTTTGGAAGCGCTGGAAAAGCAAGCAATGTGGTCAAGATATGTGTTGGCATGGTGGCACGCACGTAGGGGAAGCATCTACATGCCCAGCGCGACAAAAATGAAGGTCTGTCTCGCCTGGTCTCTTGTGAGTTGGCCCGTGCTGGTCGCTTGTGGGCTACTGGCAGACACTGTCGACACCATACTTGTCGCTGCCTTTCTGGTCTTCTGGCAAAGTCTGCTACTGCATCTGACTCTGCAAATCTGGTGGCAGGAGAATAACCTGGCAAATCTCAGCCCAGAGAGAACTCCTATAAACGCAGAGAGACCTGGCACCCTTGACGAGTTTGGAGGAGTGCAGAAGCTGGTGCTTCAGAACCATTTGCGAGTTGCAGCCGACTTGACTGCACTTCTGCAGAGAGCTCTACATACACATAGCCTGGATTGTGTCCCCTCATTTGACTATGGCATACCTTACCTTCTGAAGTCCAGGATGGTGAGCCGTCAAACGAACAAGATCAAGGCAGTCGTGCAGTTGCTCCATAGCAGTGGCGATGCAATCAGATGTGATAACGATGGTGCCATGTGTCTCATCGGCATGTGGTCCATGGTGGATCCCCCCTACAAACCTGGATTTCCAGAGCGCCGGGCTATTGAGCTCGCTACTAAGGCTGCAAGGAGTAGGGGTAGGTGTTGTACTCACAGTTGTCCTCAATCCCAGTGCTTTGAGCCACTTGTGCAGCTAGCAGTGGCTGTGTGGACACACGTGAAGATTCTCAATGAACCCAAGTATAGCCGAGGTCCTTGGATGACGGAAAACGAAGATGTTTTTTGTCACATGGAGGAACACCCTTTCCACAGTGGGGCGGCCATTGAGTGGGAGTCGGAAGCAGAGCCATGGTCAATGCAGGACTGTCCGCAGGTTGGTGAAACTCTGCATGCCTTGCTGTGTGACATTGCCAATATGTTACAAAGGCTCTCACTGGTTGAGAATGAAGAGGAGGCAGAGAGGGAGGAGTGGATGGTAGTCATGGCCCTGCTAATGGATCAGGTGTGGTTAATACCAAAGCCATTAATTATTAATCCTCTGAGGGTTTGGCATGCTGTCGTGCA